AGCGATGTACTAACTCTTTCTATTTAGTATGAAAAATCAACTTCATCCAAAACACACACACACACACACACACACACACACACACACACACACAATTCCATGGCATTCCATACGCCTAAGCTTTTTATCAATCCACAATTGTTACTGATAGCGTATTGCATTTCAGCTAGCATCTATGGGAGTTTTTGGAGATAATGAGACGACTTTTGGAGGGAGTTAATTTACGCAGTTGAAACAAAATGTATGTAGTCCTGTTAATATAAAAAAGAAAAAAAATCACAAAAGAACAGCAAATGAGAAGATCAATTATATATTCGATGAGATTATCTAATATGAATTTTTATTTTAATATAATTTTAACTAAAAATGAATATTCAAATTGAATAATGATTACGAGAAGATAAGAATCTTTATTCAAAATAGTTTTACAAGATTTATCAAGCTCAAATTGAAATTATTATAATGGATCATTTCAAACAATGCACAAGCAACTAAAGCAAAAGAGTTTAACAGTAAAAAGTTAAAAAGCTTTAATTTTTTTTTTATCAAATGTAAATCTGTATATAAATCAAAGCACACAAACACTTTACAAGGGCCAAACTCTACGTATCTTCCTACTCAAGCAACAATTCCTAAGGCAGATAGGAATTGTTTTTCTGCAACTTTAAATTTCCCTGTGGTATATACACTTTTCCAGCTTATCTCCTGTTTTATTTTGCCTATTCTCTCATTCACTGACTTCTCTACCTCTCTAAATCTCCTACCATTTCTTTCCTGCCATACATTGTACACAACAGAATTTAAACATGCATAAAAGATCTTCTGTTTAACCTTGTTAAATCTCCTACTCTCCTCAGTCTTGCTGCATTTAGAGACTCAATACTTTCCATTGATCCTATCCACCTTTGCATTTCCAGCAGCAAATATCTTGCATAAGGACATATGAAGAACAGATGATCAATACTTTTAGATGTCTGATGACATAAACAACATTCAATATCAGTAACTGGCACATGAAACTTCACTAATCTGTCTGTTGTCAACAGCCTACCATGCCAAGTTAGCCAACTTATAAAGTTGTGCTTTGGAAGACTGTAGCCATTCCACACTATACAAGCAACAGCAAACTTCTGATCTCTTCCTCTCATCCACATGTATCCACCACTGGCTGTGTACTTTTTCCTATTGTCTGCCTGCCAAATACCTTGGTTGATGTCACCTTTTAACTGATCTTTAATGACACATAATTTCTTCCAATGCCAACTAACATCATTTTTCACCTTATAATCCCACCAGCTCTTCCCTTTGATATAATACATATGCACCCATCGAATCCACAGACTCTCTTTATTGTTTGCAATGTCACACAGTTGTTTTCCCAATAGAGATCTATTCCAAATTCTAGATTCTTTGATACTCAAACCACCTTCTCCTTTTGGTCTACATATCTTGTTCCAAGCAACCAAAGCCCAAACTTTCCCAATCTCCTTCTTTCCCCACAAAAAGTCTCTATAACATTTAACTATTTGTTGTATTACATTCTGTGGGATCATAAAGATACTGGCCCAGTAAGAGTTTAAACTCAGCAACACAGAATTGATAAGCAGTGTTCTTCCTGCATAAAACAAATTCCTTGAAGACCAGCTTTTTATTCTTGCAGTCATCTTTTCAACCAATCTTTGACAGTCTCCATTTGTCCATGCAGTTGGAGCTAAGGGCATTCCCAAGTATCTCATTGGAAATTATCCTATAGCAAACTCCATTACATTCTGTATTTGAACTTGCACATCATCAGCAGTCCCTCCAAAATATATATTGGATTTCTGAACATTTACTTGGAGGCCAGTGGTCTCAGTGAAACCATGCATCAAAATGATTTCCACAGTTAGCCATATATTGTACGTAATTTTGTCTCATAAAAATAATTTACATTAAAATTTTCGTTTATACTGTTTTAATTACTCCCTCCGTCCCATAATTATTGTCCAGTTTGGGTTTTCATTTTTAGTTCAAATTGTACTAAAAGTGAAATCTCAAACTGGATAATAATTTTGGGACAGAGGGAGTACAATTTTTTATGAATTAAAATGTTGAGTATTTTTAAATGACGGAGGAGGGAGTACATATTTTCAAGCATCAATACAAGCAGAGCTACTTATCAATACTATAAATACTGTACATGCCACAATGAAATCACAACATGTCTAATTGGTAGACCAACAATTACCCATCAAACTATGTCAAACGGTAAATTACAGTATGGAGTACGGGAGCAAGCTTAAAACTGATCATTACAAGATTGTGTTTATCAGAACAGAGATTAAACAGAGTCTTATGTCTCTGGCTTTCAGTTATATTCTCGATTTTACGAATATATTTCAATTCATTTACGATATATGATGGAATACTGAATGCTAGAATATTGTACAGGCACGCTTGCAAGATTGAGTACACAATCTCTTTTAATCAATGTGCAGAGAATTGGTCATGAACTCAATAGATTGTGGTTTGAATGAAATAATGAGATATACATCAACGATTTGTTATGTGGTGAACCACGAGGAAATCAAAGTAGAATAAAAATGAAGTGTTAATTTGTTTATAGTGAAGTCTATAAGAACGCAATCCAACCATGAATTATTACAACATGGAAGTCCTTGTATGTTATTACGGTGATAAATAACTCTTGCTTAAAAATGACAAATTACAAGAACCACGTCGACTGGAATCAGAGAGCTTAAGTAAGATGATAAAGGTATGACGCCATTTAATTACATAGTTAACGTTGAAAGAACACTAAACTCAAACCCGATCGACTCAATCACGTATGCAGCACTAGATGTCACTCACTGATTGGGGTACTGAAGATGGATCAAAAAGATATCTCGGGTGCGTAATATACCAAAAAGAAAGATATTCCGGCTGAAAATTGTGACGGTTAGTATCAACCACCGGAGACTGTGGAGCCGGCATCAGTACTTTGGAAGAATGATGATTATCAACAAGCAAAGAACCTGAAGGTGGTGCATGAAAGCTAGTTACAACTGAGAAGTCTTGATCAAGCACTAATCTTGCCGCCATTACGAGATTGCCGTTCCCTACATGGTGCCCCCGTTGAATTATCACCATTTCATGGATCAACAAGAAGCTAATTAGCAAGAAAATGATCGGGCGATTAGCTGCTTTCATGGCCATTAAGGTAACTGGGAAGAGAAAATATGTGTATGTGTTTTACTAAATGGTTATGATTGAGAAGATAATTGGTGAAAATTGTGGCCCCTTATATATACAATCATGTAATACGGGCTATTCAACACTGCACATTCTTTAATTCTTTCAATTTTCACTTAATTACCTGGAAAGTTTTTATTGACCTTAGCAATAACGACAAAGTAAACTCTTAAAATCCCGGATGACCAAATTAACCGTTTATAGATGTGTTTGGCAGGAATTCGCGCTGCAGATTGACGTGGTAAAAGACGATTAGTTGTGAAAAGTAAACGATAATTTGTAAGTTGTATCAGATTAACAAGATAGACACATGATGTCCGTATAGGTGATCAAACTCTCAAGGAGAAGAAAAATCCAAATCCACAACGTTTCTTTGTGATTGTTACTTACGTATTGTATATTGTTTATGTTTTTTTTTTTTTTTAAATTGAAGCTACTACCACCTGCTCCGTACATTTTCAAATTTCTATAAATCATTCAGCCGTACAAATATCTACAAAGGCTCGATCGATACTCGAAAGGTTGAATTATCCTTTCACCTACTTCGGAGTAAATGAGAATGTGTCAGCGAGTTTTCCTGGTAAAATTATTAAAGTAACTTACAAGCTCATTTGACTCAATCATAATAATAATATAAAAGAATCCCACTTTATTAAGAAAAAAAAGAAAGAATAAATCCCACGTTATGAAAAAATAAATAAATAAAAAAATCAGCAATACATGACAAGATGAGGTATATAATAGAAAGAAGAGTAAACTAAAGATAAACATACGTCGTTATGGTAATTATACTTCAAATGTAAATTTAGAGTTGAAGCAACACAAACTCAATCCACTAATATCATCGATAAGGTACTCTTTGGCTTCAGAATTACTTGTGGTTGCCACGCGGACTATGACTGATTTGGAGCGGAGGAGTATTTATCTTTGGAGCCGGCGGAGGTGGCCAAGTTCTCTTCTTAATGTCCAGTAATTTGGAAGATGTAAAATATTGATGATTATCATTCATCGGATTAGGATAAGATGGCGATGCATAAAAATGTTGATCAAGTAATAACCTCGCTGCCATGACGCCGTTGACTTTCGCTTCATGAGATCCAGAATATTGAATCAGCACCAGTTCATGGACCAACAAGAAACTTAGCCAGTAACAAAGATAAACTGCTTTCATGATAATGGGGGGAAAGCATAAATGTAGAGCCCGGAGAAATCTATGTACCTGCTATATATATATATATATATATATATATATATATATATATATATATATATATATATATATAACTCATGTGTAACTGAAAGGACAGAACGCGAGATGTATCTTCTAGGAATATTAACTGACGAAATTATCTTAATTTGACTCATAAAGATTGCTCGTACATGAATCAACTCGTAGGACTATTAGAAGTCCCGTAGTCCGTAGAACTGTTTGTTTGGTTCATGCACATTATAACTAACTAAAGATAGTCGAGAGAATTTCTCAAATCAGTTCATAATTAAGGAAAAAAGATATATTGGAAGATTTCTATGTAAATTTCAATCACATGGACGCGGAAATTCCATGAGAAATTGAATGAGAAGATCACTATGATCTTTTTCTATTTAAAAAAATCTTACAGTATCTACGTATATTATTACAGATTTTTCTATTTTAAAGAGGAGATCACTATGATTGAATTATCCCAAATATATAAATTAATTAACAAAGAACACTAAATGATTAGGATGTTCGGCAACCAATATCATTTCAATTTTTTTTTTTTTTTTTTGGTGCGAAATAGAAGGCAAAAACCTAGATTCTTATATTCTCGGACAACCCCTATTACATCATGTTGCAACCATGACTTAACACCTAATGGTGGTGGTACATCAAACCTTTGCAGACACCAGAAGGTGCTAACGAGTGCATTAAACTACTGCATTAATACGTAATAAAATTAAACTACTACGGTAGAAATGAAGGCTTGGTATGATTTAAGTAAGAGAAGTAAATATATTGTAAAATTCACTAACACCCCATCACCTTTTCAAAAAAAATAATTATAATAATAACACCCCATCTACAAATAATCAGTTAACATTTGATTTTACCGTATCTCTCCCACACACACACACACACACACACGGACAAAAACTCAACCTACCGATCAATCAAACATACTTCAGACAGGCAATCACATGACAGGCGGGTGGGGGCGGAATCCGTCATGGTGGCGTTGGAAAAGGCGGATAATTAAGGCTGCATAGGAGGTGGTGGGCTGCCCTTGACACGAACAGGGGTATTACCCTTTGGAGTTTGGGGAGCTTTCTTGGTTTTCTCCTCAACTAGTACTACCACTTCTGCTTTTGAAGGTATGGAATACTGATGATTCTCATCAACCACAGAAGCTGTCGGCGGCGCATCAAAACTAGTCATCACAGATGAAAAGTAGTCTTGATCAAACATTAAAAATCTTGATGCCGCGACGAAGTTGCCTTTGCCTTCATATCCATGATGGATCAACAGGAAGAAACTAAACAGCATCAAGTAAATAGTTTTCATCGTTTACTAGAGAGATTGATAAACTTTTGTGTCTACCGATGGTTAGGCCGGCCACAATTCGGAAATCCAGTCGAAGAAACTGAGTAACATTAATTTATAAGCATACAACTAAGGTATATACATACGTGTTCTTGACGTACTGTGGAGCACATCGACAACACCACTTGGAGTCTTTTATTAATCGTTTTCTTAACTTAATTTCCTCTCTTTCATAGCTCTAATAACTTTGACCCTATCGACCAATAAGTTACAAAAAAATTTATACACAAATACGAATCAAGAAAAAATGAAGAAAAACAGACAGATTGACGTATTAAATAACACCACAAAATAAATATGTAAAGTAGACCAGATCCACAAGTACGTACGTTGAGTCATATGGAATAAGCTTTATTAATTAGTGCTAATTTAGAGCCTGCATGGAGGAAAGTTTGAAAGTAAATTCCTAATATCATTACACACTGCAGATTGCGCAGAAAAATACGCTGTTCAAATCTTTGTGAAAGGAAGGACGGAAATTGATATATCCAATCACACATCGAATTTGTCACTACGTATTTAAAAGATTGATTTAATCTGCCTCTCGTTCTGATAGAATTAATATGTTACTACATATTAGTTAGAAATCGTCAATATTATTATGTGGGCGGATGCAGCCAAGATGACGACGATAACAGGGATCGGGAGAAGATGACGGCGGCGACGATGGGGATGAGGCAGGTTGTGGCCCCGGAGGGACCCTTTTAAAATGAGTAGAAGGATTGAGCCTTGGTGATGGTGGTGGGGATGTGCTCGACCTCGATACGGATCCTTCTTTGCCACCGGCGGCGCCGTTCAGATTAAGTTCACCATCAGAAGTCCCCCACAGCAAGATGTTGTGGTTCCTTGTCAATGGTACGGCCGCACAAGCAAACCACAATTCATGCATCAGAATGAATATCATAAAACATGTCGTAACGTTAACCTTCATCTTTTTCACAATTCAATCTTTCTGGGGAAAGAAAAAATGAAGAAGAAGAACAAACTTTCTTCAACTCTGGTGATGAAATTGTACTGATCTTAATAAGGTTTATTGACAACTAAGATTTATACACTGATGTTACTGGTGTGAAGTGTGAACCTAACGGTTTACGTGTTGACTATAACTTTATACTAGTAGTGGTTATAAAGTAGAAACTAACTAACTATTCCATTTCGCTAGTAGTACTAAATCGCTATATACATTCCACATGTTCTCTACCTAGCTAATCAAACATCTTGGTCGACTTTTATGATTTTTCCTTTTGTGAAACAATTCTCGTCAAAGCTCAAACCACGATTTTGGATTTGACTTTTCCGTTTTCATATTTTCTATATACTTGCCAATTGTTGGACATGAGGTTCATTTTTCCGAGTCTAAATTCCCAAAAACAAATTGGTTTGACTTGAAGGATCAATTACTGGATTATTCAGTATGCAAATGGAATGTCATAATCTACCATGCAACTACCGGAACAACTATTATTTCCTTCGTCAATCCTAAAATATTTGCCCGGTTTATTATACCAAATATTATACTCCTTCTGTGTCAAAATATTAATCCACATTAAATTTTAAGATTTGGACTGATTTTAGTTTAAATCTCAAAACCTAATGTTAATTATTTTTTTGAGCCCAAATGAAGTAATAAACATCACAAAAATTTTGAGACGGATGAGTGCAATGTACATTTGGTGATTTTCGGAATACTCATCAAACTCTTAGTATCTGAGATTATCTGCCTGGTAAGTTATAATTAATCACAATGGATTAAACCTGCTGTAAAATAAAATTTCACTCTGCTTACATGTCGATAAATTCTAGTATAATTATCCAAATGGATCTTTATATTTGGGCTTACTTGAATTTATATCTTTAACATTAACATATCAATATCGTAGTCCATAACATTATCTTTTCACACTTTTCTTTGTCCCATTTCACTATTTCGATCACTTTTCTGTCCAGCTCGATATTGACTGGCAGTTGACTTGTCGGAATCAGGGGTATATTTGTCTTTTATATAATTTGAACTTGCATTAAAATTTAAATCATTAAATACATTATTAAAATTCACATTTATCATTTATTTGTTAAAATATTATTTATTACTCCCTCCATTCACAAATAGATGTCGTTGGAGGAAAAATCAAATATTCCAAAATAGATGTCGTTCTCACGAATCGAGGCATATCTTGTTAATTTTTTTCAATATTACCCTTACATTGAAAATTGTAATGATGTTTAATGTAGAATTGTTTTAGACCTGAATTTTATTGGGACTACAATTGAATTAAGAAGAAATGAGGGTATTATAGTATTTTAACAAGATAATTATTGCCTCCTTAAACTTTGTAAAATCTCTCCAGCGATATCTATTTGTGAATGGAGGGAGTAATTTAAAATTTTATTTTAAAATTTTAAAATTTAAATTATTTTCAAAGTTACTTTTTTTTTACCATTTACATTAATGTTAATTATGTTACACTTTTAACCCCAGTCCAATATAACTTTAAAAATTTACCGAGTCATAGTAAATAATTCAAAATTCAAATTAAAAAAAAAAAGCAAAACAAATAAACCCTAATTTATTTCTAAAATTTTACCGCGCTATAGTAATTAATTCAAAATTCAAACTTTCCTTTTTAAAACAAATGCAAGAAAATTGTGGTGTGAAAATCCGGATAAAAAATGGCTTATTTAAGTTTTTGACTTAGTTCTTAGTTTGAATTTGAGATATAATTTAAAATGTAGTTTTAGTGAAAATTCAAAAAGTTATTGGGATAATATTTTAAATAAAATAATATTATTTTTACACCATCATCTCCACACCTCCACTGCCGCCTGCCCGCCGCCGGACTGTTGCCGACCGGTAACCGGCCGGCCGGATTCTGGTGAGAGTCCGGCGGCGACAGTGGAGGTGGTCCGGCGGCGGGCGGCGATAGTGGAGGTGTGGAGGTGGTAGTGTAAAAATAATATTATTTTATTTAAAGTACTATCCCAACTACTTTTAAATTTATACTCAAACTATATTTTAAATCATATCTCCAATTCAAACCAAAAATTAAAATAAACATTTTATTTTCGGATTTTTTCCCCCTCAATTTTATTTCCTTTGGGCCCGCTGGATTTTTTACTTCGATCGAAAAAAAAATTGGAAGGTGAAAATTCGGATAAAAAATTTAGTTTGTTTTTCCTTTTGTTTTAAAAAAATTGAATTTTGAATTAGTTACTGTAGTGCGGTAAAATTTTTTAGTGATACGGGATTAATAATAAAATGTAATTAATATTTATTTCTTATCCATCATAAATGATAAATAGAAAAAGTAATTTTTTAAAATAATGGAAATTTTAAATTTTATAATAATTTTTAAAATTAATAAATAATATTTTAACAATTAAATAATTAAATATGAATTTTATAATAATTTGAATGATTTAAATTTAAATGAAAGTTCAAATTATATGAAAAAGATAAAAATGCCCTTGATTCTGGCATGTCAACTACCGATCAACATTGAGTTGGACGGAGAAATGGCCGAAATAGTGAAATAATACCAAAAAAAGTGTGAAAACATAATATTTGAGACTACAATATTGAAATATTAATGTTAAAGACGTAAATTCGAGTAAACCTAAATATAATGGACCATTTAGATATTTTAGTCTATAATTGATGTATGTACTTTTTTAGTGCACTCAACTAATAGAAAATAATTATTAATGTTTTTTATCCCCATGTATGTTTTTCTGTCTCCCGTAAAAATAATACCCTCCCTTTGATTGTATCAAACTACACAAGCTCACATGGTACAATCGTTGTATTAAAGCTTACTCACGTAAGCCTATTATCGATTACTAACCACATTTAGTTCTATATAGGTAGCTTAACATTTTTTTTTTAATTGGATGAACTCAGTAAGAATTGAACTTTTGACATTCGGATAATGATCATCCCTATCCTAATTCTCTAACCACACTACCCAACCCTCTCACCCTACATAGCTTAACATTTATCAAAATGGGACAAACGAGTAGTAGTAATAGAAAAGCAGCTGGACAAGATTTAAATTTTAAAACGCAAGGCAAGACGGGCCTTTGATAGCAAGCCACAAAGAACTGTCGTTATCAACGTGTCTAGCAGTCAAGGTAAGCCAATAATAGATAGTACCATCAAACTAGGCCCAAAAGTTAAATTATGTACCACGCTTAAAACCTATATCTGATCATTTTAAGTTTGTGTCCCTGATGTTGCAAATGTATTTTGATTTCATAATAACGTAAATTTCTATCTCACAAAAATAATTTACAAATTATATTTATTTTCCAGGACGAAATAAGTATATATAAAGTAGGAGGAAGATATATACATTTGAAGTACAACAGTAGTCATATCCTACTGTATAATGTTGATTAATGCACACAAAATCAAGTTTTCCTTTTTTTTTTTTTTGGTAGTGTATCGTTATAGAATTGCTGAGTTACTGCTTTATTACCAGAGCTCATCCAAAGCCGTCAGAAAAAAGAAATTCTTGTAGCAATGAGCAAATACTTTGTGAGTAGTAGTCGGAAGAAAATGTTTAAAGGTAATCTTTGTTTTTTTATAAAAAAAAAAAAAATCAATATAAGTCTTCGCTTAACATAAAGTCAATAAACGAAACAGATCATTACTCATAATGAATAATTTGTTCTGTAATGAAGTAATGAACCATGGGAAAAGTAAAATTATGAAAGAAGTGCTTAGACATATTGAAGACTACTACATAATAAGGCATAAGGCAGTCCAAACCATTAATAATACATTGAACTTGAAGTCCTTGTAATGCTATATTACAGTGATAAATAAATGACACTTCAAATGACAAAATTACAAGAACCGAATTAGAGTACTCTAATTAAGATGATAAATGTATGATACCAACTAAATAAAAAAAAAATACAGTTGTTCTAGATCAAGCACATGCAGCTGTAGATGCAAATCACAGACAGGGCGGAGGAACGGTGGCATTGCAGTCAATCGCGAAAAGATATATCCCGGCCGGCCGAAAATTAATAATGCTGGGTGGCATTAGTCGCTGGAGTAGGTGGAGCTGGCCATAGTTTCTTGTTTTTAAAACCCTTGTGTACTTTGGAAGACATCAAATAATGATGATTATGATCATCCAGCGAAGAAGCTGAAGGTGGTGCATCAAGACTAGGGACATCATCAGCTGATAAGTCTTGATGATCAAGCATTAGTAGTCTTGTTGCCAAGACGACATTGCCTTTCCCTTCACGAACATATCCTTGTTGAATCAACATGAAACTAATTATAATATGCACGTAAATGATCAGGTAAGCTGCTTTCATGGCCATGCAGGTAACTAACTGGTAACTAATTAAGAGAAAGCGCAATTCATGAATATATAATCCGATAGAAGAAACTGTGGTCTATATATATACAACAGTCATGTAGTAATAAGGTAATATTGGGCAAATCAACTTCATTCTTTAATTCTTTCTTCTTCTTTGTTTCCACTTCCCTACCTGCAAAGCTTTGACCTTATCAATACAAATATACAATATCTTCTGATCATCAAATCGCTGATGACGAAAAACCTTATAACGATGCCTGCCAGGAATTTTGTTGAGGTAAACACGGAGTGCAGATTGACTTGGTAAAAAGACGATAACCTGTGAAAATAAACGGATACCTTGTAACTCGTATCAGATGAACAAGCTTAATTTATTAAGTAATACATGTTGCATGAAGCAAACCCAAAAGCACAAAGCTTGTGTGGTTATTACGTATTGAACAGTGTCCTAACTAAGATTTTAATTAATTGTACCTAGTTTACCTATTACAGAAATTTTCAACTTGCTATAAACCATAATATTGCCCAACAACTACAAAGTACTTTACATCTACCCGGGGTCAATAGGTTGAATGTATTCATTCACCTACTTCAAAGTCATTGAGAATGTACGTAGTCATTGGTACATTCAGATCGCAAAACTATATAGGTAATTTTTCTTCTTTGGTGAAACAATTAAGTAATTAATAATAAGCTCTTTTTTTTTTTCTTTTTTGGTACAATAAGAGGAGGCAGTTGCTTAAAGGATTAAATCACTATAGACCGTTAGTAAGCCACACCAACTATATTATGATACAACCAAAGTTTTACCACATCCGGTAGATCCTCCAGCCTTACTAGACCTCGAGGGCTTGAAGCTGCAAACATTGCTAGTGAAAAATTTCTGAGTCCCATTTATGATTTTCAAGCAAATAAAATTCCGCTCGGCTTATAAGCCTACCATGGATTGTGATAATGTTAATATTAGCATGATATTTGTGGTGGTTTATGTGTTGTTTTGAATATTATATATGCTAATATTAGTGGTTTGGTTCGTAATTTGATCTTAGAAAAGATTCGGAACAAAAAGAAGAAAAGTGTTGATTTTGAATAGATTTTGAAGGTTTTATTGAATCAAGTTTCAAGTTAGAGAAGAAGTGGTTAATTCCCACGTGGGCACACAAAATCCATGCCAAAATCAATGAAGGAAGCAGAAAATTCCAGAAACAATGTTATATTCCCGCGTGGGCACGCTGAAACAGGGACTAAAGTACAAAATTTCCAAAATTTTGGGGTCAATTTGTAATTTTGGAAACTTCAGGGATCAATTTGCAAATTCTGAAAAATTTAATTGGTCTCTGCGGATTTTGAAGAGGCTGAACGTGGGGATGCCCTAAATTTGCATATAAATAGTCTTTTTCTTATTATTTTGAGAGAGGAGAAGAGGCACAACACAGGGAGCAACAGCTGGAGCTCAGGACAAGAATTTCTCTCCGTTTTCGTCAGTTTTTGCTCTGTAATGTCAAACATAAATTCTTGTGTTGTTGATTTCAGCATGATTAGCAACTAAACTTTTTTTTTTCTAGTTAAAGGATTTTATTGAAGCCTTGATGTTATTCAATTGTGAGATCTAACTGTTTGCTTTTCACCAACGAATTTTGAGTATTTATTTATTCTCTTTGATGTGTATTGATGATTATTTGGCATTATTTGAATAGCTGGTAGCATTCAATTCTCCTAGATAATCTAATTTATTGAACAACAAGGTTTGTTTGTTCCTTAGAAGAGACAATGCAAATAATTACTTGGTAAGTAGTTTACTTGTGTTGTGAGAATAGATAATTAATTTTTAATGAAATAAGGTTTGTTTGTTAGAAATTGAATTGGGTCTTTGCTTGTCAAAAATTGAATCCTAGGAGGTTCCAGGTAGTGTTTTTTTGGCTATAGAGTGATTGATGAAGGTTTCTTAGTCACTGGTAGTTAAATAAAAAGACTGAGTTGTTAGGAGGTTCCAACAACGAAAACTAATATATTCATCATTTGTTGAGTTAATCTTTGCATCAATGATCAGTTGGATACATCAAGGTGGAAATTATTCCTTTGACTAGAGTTGCTCTTATTATTGATTTTCCAAAAGTATCTTTTATTGTTTGCAAATTATTTTTGTTATTCATTAGTTACAAATCCAAAATCTCTCCCATTTAGTTACTTTGCTTTTGATTAGAAATATTTTCACTTCCTTGCTCCCTGAGGAGACGACTCTACTCATTGCTATACTATTAAATTTGTTAGGAGTAGAATCTTTTATTTTTGTTGGTTTGACACCCACCAGATTGATTCCTAATTCACTAGGACATGGTAAAAATAATGAAATTGTTCATACATTCGGCCTTTCTTTATTAATTTTCGTCATTCTTAATCATTCGGATTGGGTTTCAATTGTAACTCCATCATTAATATTTTCTATCACATTGTAGTTTTAAAATATTTATATCGTTATCATGAAATGAAATTAGACTGACGAATTAAAAGCAACCAACCAGTAAGATCACTAAAAATGATAAGAATAAATTGTAATCAAAGCAGCTAGACAAGTTGAATTTTAAAACATCAAGAAAAAGGCCTTTGATAACAAGCCACAAAGAAATCTCATTATCAATGGGTCTAGATAAGCCAAGACTTAGCCCAGGATTAAAACCCAATACATTTTAAGTATGTATCCGTGTAGTCTATCCGTCTCATAAAAAAATTCACAAATTACATTTTATAATTTAATTTTTTTGAAACGGAATAAGTACATACATAGTGAATAGGAGGAACATATATATTCATTAAGTAAAGTAGTCATATTCTACTACATAAAGTTGATTAATTCATGCAAAATCAACTTTTCCGTAATATTGTTTTTCCCTTGTGTTTATCGTTAATAGAATTGCGGAGTCACTGCTTTGCGCTACCCCATACAAAGCCCTCAGAACAAAGAGCATATATACATTATACATACTTATCGCAAAAAAATTCTTGTACCAAGGAGCAAACAATTTGTGAATAGTAGTCGAAAGAAATCTTGAAAGGTAATCTGAATTTTATTTATTTTTTTAAGAAAAAATATTCATAAATCAATGCAAGTCTTGTTTTTCTTATTAACACAATAAAGTCGATACATAAACCAAATAATCAAATCATTATTATACTGAATTAAATACTGAGATCAACTCATAATCAACAATATATGTTCTGTAAAGAACCATGGGGAATCATCTGGTGCATGGGGGAAATTTGTTAGATGTACAGATGGTTGTGGAAAAAATTAACCAGCAAGTTAGATTGAAGATTACTGGATGCTGTAAAAAGTTTAGGCCTAGTGAAAAAGTATACTTAGAAAGCAAAAAGGTATTCCTGTGATATATATATATATATATATATATATATATATATATATATTTTGATGAAGACTATAACAAGGCAATCAAATCCAACCATTAGAATTACATTGAAGGCAGCTTGTATATTACATTGATAAATAAATGAGACTTAAATTGACAAAGGAGAAGAACCATCGAGTAAAATTAGAGTTTAACTAATAAGATGATAAATGTATGACACCGTTTATCTATATATGGAATTGGAGAAAGCTTGATAAGCGCTATCAGCCCCTTTTGTAATTTTGTTACTTTTTGATAGTGACTTCAATGATTCGTCCGGTTTTTCGTATTTTTTAAAAGCCTGACATTGTTACCTCTTGTAATTTTTAGTCTTCAATTTTATATTTTAAAACTAAAACAAGTGAAATTTGAAATTACATGAATTGAATTGTTCATTCACCAACTACGGAGAATGTAAGGGCGTTACCAATATTCATATTCTTTATTACCACTACGTATTTATTATAAAGACGCAATTTGAAGTAGACACACATTAAATTGATATGTGACACCAAATTTGTCATACATATATTTGTTTAAAGTAGTTTACCTCTCATTCTAATGCGTCTAGGCGCACAAAGAAAAAAGGAGGATTTAAGCAAGGAAAAAAAAAGGAGGAATTTTTTTCTACCTACCTAACAAGTATGAAATCCTGGAATTTTTTGGTTACCATCCGTCGATTGATTATTGTTCCTGGCACGATCGGGTTGACCTTTGACTTTGTTTTGGCTACAAGTGGACCACAACCAGCTAATATCTTCAAATTAAAATAACTTCTGGGTTCCGGAAAAAATATACTCCACTTTGTTGACTAAAACCGCAGCATAAAGTGAAAGAGATTCACATTTTTTTTCCTTCTTGATTCTTACTTATTGCCGTATTGTTGCATTTCGAGATACACATTTTTTGGCATACTCCTAAGTGTGAACCGTTGAATTGAAAAGAAAAAATATAAATATTTCTGCTAATAATCCTAGTTAAAGAAAAAAACAAATGAAGGACAAGATCAGCATTCAATAGAAATTAATTTTATTAAAGACTGACATATGGAGATGTTGTCATATGGCACAATTTGCTTGAATTTGTAGTCAATTTAAGTTTTTAACTGAAACAAGTCACAACCCACATATGACATAGAAACTTCTACCCAATGTATGTTTGCAGGATCGTGATCCTACGTAGAATCAAAATAGGATCATAGGATCGGATCGTAAACAGGATCGGTAGGATCGGAATAATAGGTTTGTAAAATTAATATACATGTTATATAATTAATTGTTTTAATAATTAGGTTTCAATTATCTTTAAATAAAGTATTTAACATTTAAACGAAAAGAATTGTGTGAATTCAATTTTCGTATGTAAATTTTTTTATAACTTTTTAATGAAAACTCTTCTCTTATAGTTATTTTTTTATTTTATTAGAAAAACTTTCTAAAATACATTTTTCTTAGCAATAAAAATTTCCTCAATGAATATTAGCCTCAATTGAATGTAGACCAAAAGAAAAATCTCAATAAGTTCAATGAATTTTTTCTAATTAATAAAAAATAAACTCGAACCGATCATATACGATCCTAACCGATCCTATACGATCATAACCGATTCTGACCG